GGCTCACTGTAACAGAACACAGCCTTGTGCCAGCTGCAGGCCTACAGGTCATGCACTACTTATGAACAGAACCTGAATATCTGCATATTTCTGGACAGGCTTAGCAGAAGCCTGTGTACTTGCCAGGCCAGACATCTAAAGGGGTGAACAAGCGACTGTAACTGCAGTCGAGGCACTCAGTGCGCAAGTATGCAGCAAGGAAGGAACACGCTGACTCTATGTAGATCTGCCTATACTGTGCAACTGCAGAAAGAACCACGCTCAGAATACATCAGCACGTATCTGTTTATGCTCTCACTGTGACAAATGCAGCAGGCCGATTCAGTCGGCGCAGTTTATAGTTCATTCTCGGTTTCCTTACAGGGAAATCATCCCTATAGGCTTTTTCAGGCTCGGTGATTCAGCTTCGGAGTCACATCCGTGACAAAGAGAGACCTGTCACACAAATATCCTTATGAATTAGTCAAATTAATGTGGAACGACTGGCGTTTAGCATCCCAGGTTTGCTCCCCCCCCTTTCTTCAGAGAGTGGTGCATTTGCAATCTCGAATCAGATTTATTACTGTGAATTCTTCTCTGGATTCAGCCGTGGAAACGCCTCGTGATAACTGTTTACCCTCCGAATTGGCATGCTACTTGTGAAACAGTTAATGTTTTCTTCTTTATGCACACCATATGGCTGTCAAATGATGGGGAGAAACCCACCGTACGCAGTCTTACGCCACAGTAAATATGCACACACATTGTGGTAACCGGATGATAATCTCACAGGGGAGATGACTGTTGAGCGATTTATGATTCACTGCGAGGCAGTGCTGCAGTTTGTTCGCCGATTTTCCTTCTATATTTCAATATTATCGAACACGTTTAATTCGTTTTGCAATGCTTATAAAGCGGCTTTTTTTATTATTATTATTATGATATCTCTAAAATTGTTTGGCAAATTTGATTTATATCACCAAATGTCATGCCTCAGAGGTTGCAAGTCATTTATAGCGATTTAGTGACAAGTCACAGTCAGCTGCAGTCGTATTTTGCTCACTTTCAGGCCTGATAATCTAAGATTTATGATAAGAAATAGGGCTGCTACAGATTAAATGGTGATATGATAATGAAACACACAGGCCTGGCCTTTCACAACGCACACTGTTGCAGCTCTCCTTGGCAATCGCTGCTGAGAAAAAAGGGGAGAGGCTAAGCGAGGCCGCTTGTCGTTTGAATTTTTGATTGCAACCATCTGCGTCGTTGCTGGTGTCATTTATTTTCAACGACAGCGTGAATCTTTCCCAACTTTCCCCTTTGGGGGTTTCTGTGTGTGTGCATGTGTTCTCAGCTCAGCAAAATGGAAAGGGGGAAAACAAAGAGAGGGAGACAGGTCTGAACCCATACGCTATGGCCGACTGTCATACGAGTGCCCATGGCCTTCCTCTGCCTTTCAACTGCCGAACAGAGCGCGCAGCTGGTATTAAAGTGTTGTGTAAGACCAGCGGAAAATAGTTTCGTGGTTTTCTGTTCTGACACTGCTTCTTCGGGGCATTTCGTCAAATTCAAATAAAAAAAAGAAAAAAGAAAATTGTGTCTTATCCAAAAAAAATTGACTCCCCCCCCTCCTCTCCTCCTTTTATTCCGTTGGGAAGAGTAGAGCTTGTTTTGCCGTGCTGTCAAATTTCCTTGCTTTTGCCCTCACCTCGGGCACAGTGAAACTGCGAGAGAGTCGTCATGTATAAGAACATATAAGAACAAACACAATAGTTGAGGATTAGAAGGACTTATAGGTGCAATTAATGTCTGAGGACATGACTGGAGGCCAGAGTCCTCCTATATGCACTCTGGCAGGTTTCACCCACCTAGCTGGTTTCACCCAGCCGCTAACTTTTTACCAGTTTAATCACCGCTCGAGCATAGCCAAACTACACGGGATCAATTTCAGCATTTGCACTTAAAAGTATCTAAAAAATCCCAAAAATATTTTTTTATTAAGTGTTTTCTGGCCTTTGAACAGCTTTTTTTGACCTTCTACAAAGATGGAAATTTTGGTGAAAGAGGCCCATTGTCTTGAGCTCCCATCTGGTACATATTGTGCAGTGGCTGTGTGCAGCAGCAGCAGCAGCAGTAGTAATAGTGGAGTGAATGACTGACTCTCTCCTCATCAAACTGATAGGGGGTGCTCTAAGGCTGCCTCAGTTAACTCACACTTGATAAGGCAGAGTAGCAGGACTGTCACAGGGTGAATATAACTCCAAGTTTATATGTGTGTGTATGTGAGAAACAGAAGAAGAAGAAGAGACAGAAATAAAGTATGTGTGCTATCATGTCAGACAGCCCGGTTTCATTGCCATCATCACGCCTTCCCCAACGATGGCATGTTTGACAGCGTGTCAGCTATGCTCCTTTACCTATCAAGCTTGTTCCTCTCACATAGGAGTTTATACTGAGGAATTAGACACTGTCTGTCACCGTGATCGGCTACATTAGTCTGTTATTCTTTCACGTTTCCATTTTGCCGTGCTTGTGTCCAAGATTTTTTTATTTTTTTATTTTTGTACCACCCTCCCGCCCCGCCACGTTTGGTTCCTTCTTGCACACATGTTTTTCTCACACAGGTGAGCCTCGGGACAGATGAGTGCGCGGGTTTCAGAGAGGGGTGCGGTTTTCAGAAGATGTCCGACTGATATTCCAGATATTCACAGTCACGGTGCCAACTCCTGCTAATTTACTGCTTTCAGCCTCGGGCCGTGTTACTCAACCGTAGGCTAACAAACAGGCCTTTTCACTATTTGTCTCTGTCTCTCACAGGGAGAGAGAGTCGAGTTCAAATGCCCAGGTGTCTGTCAGCTCGCTGACTTGTAGTTGTCTTTTTTTTTTTCTTTTCATTTTCGCATTTCTCACACGAGGATCCGTGCCTCATGCCACCTGTCTTCTTTCTTTTCTCTTTTGTTTTTTTTCCCCCCAAAGTAAAAATAAAAAAATAAAAAAAATAACGTTAGCAGAAAGATCTCCTGCACCGTCCTACTTGTATGCATTGCACATACATGCAGAGTTACATTGCCTGCGCGAGCGAATCATGGTCACAAGCTGTGAACTGTAGGTAAATATGCGGCTGTGTTCCTTCTTTGCCGCCAAAAGATTATGAGATGGAAATTATTTGGCGGGCATCCAGGAAGCCATCGCCATTTAGAGAAAAGATATTTGGCATCGGATCATCACTCCAGGGTGGAATGAGAGGACTGGAAAGTGTGTATGAGTGTATACGTGGGCGGATGGGTGATTTGGTAAAGGGGGTGGTGGTGGGGGGGCTCATAGTTACAAAGAAATATTTGAAAATGATAAATAATAATAATAATAATGATAATTTGGGGAAAAAAGGGATGCGTTAGTATTCATCCCCAATCCTGCCCGAGTTTAAGCATTATGACAGCGACGCAATGCTTCCCTGACAGTGTGAGATGGCTGATAAGAAGGTTTAGGATCTTTGGTCTGATAAATACAGCAGAACAAAAAAAAGAAAAAAGAAGAAGAGAGCGAGAGCACACACCCTCTTTGTCTAATCTTTGCAATTATTAGGGTGTCAGGAAAAGAGAAAAGGAGGCAAAGAAGAAGGGGTGTAGGGGGAGGGGTGTGGGGGCGTGGGTAGGGGGGGGAGATACGGGCGCTAGAAGTGGAGACGCAGCAGACAGGCAAGTGCTGCTATGCTTCTCTCCCAGGCATCAACACCTCTCCCTGGGTACCCGCTCACTCAGACACGCCTTCAGTCTCTGGAGCTTCAGGTTTCCTCGGGGCTCTTTAGAAGAGGACACATTTCCATACTGGTGCATGAGGGTGGTGTTTTAAAATGTAAAAAAAAAATGGAGGTTGTCCATGAGGGATTTACGTTAAGCTGAGGGACAGAGTCTGCGCCATCGGGGAGGAACAGAGGGAAGAATGTGTAAATGTTATTAATGACCGTGTCAGATCTGTAAAGAATGAGATTTACTCTCCTAACAGGACCCCGGGTTTGGCTTTATAGATTTTCTGTCTGTGGAGAATACACTGTTCAAACTCACCTGATCCATTCATGTACACACACGCACTTAGACATGGCCCTTTTTTTCTCTTCTCTCTCCTTTTAATTTTTCTTCTCGCTGTCTTATTCTAGGATGCACACAAACACGAACACACACACGCGCGCGCACACACAGGGTGGTGGATGTGGCCTACGTTACTCTACACTTTGTTCTGCACAAGCTGGGGCTCCCGTGGTGTAGGGAGCCGTCTAGCTATGACAGCTTAGTGCAGCAAAAGGCCCTCACCGGAAACCAAGCCTGCACTGTGAGATGAATAGCTTCCTGGCCACACACACAATCACACAGGCTGATATGCACACAGACACACATACACGTGGAGTTTATGTGTTGGGTGCAGCCCACGCAGATCTCTCACGGATAAGCAGTGCAGGTGTTTGCCTAGGCGAAGCAACTTAACAGCGGCGTTGTTTCATGCCATGAAAGTGACACACAGTTGTGACTGTAATGATCATCTTGTGTGGTAGGAAGAGATGGCTTTCATCAGGTAATGGTTTCAGGGATAACTAAACTCGCTGGGTGTTTTTTCCCTTTACCTCTCTATATTTGGCTCTAACTATCTTACTCCTATCTTTCTTAAAATAACATCACTGACTGACATCTTTTACCTTCCCCTTCTTATTTCGGCAGCAGAGGCCAATCATGACTCAGGGGCAGGATCTCCATCTCCTGAGCTGTCCACCCCGAGCCCTCGGAGGAGAGCATCTGGAGAGCATGACCTCTTGACCTGCGGCCAGTGCCAGACTAACTTCCCTCTGGGTGATATCCTGGTTTTCATCGAGCACAAGCGCCGTCTGTGCCGGGGGCCCATTGGCGGACTGGGGTCCTTCTCCAAACCTGGGGCAGCTGGCGGGGTTATGGGCCTTCCCATCTCTCCGAGGGCCAGGTCACTGGAGCTGGGAAGAGGGGCTGTTCCGGTGGAAGTGGGCGTCCAGGTGACCCCAGGAGGGGAGGAGGATCAGGCGAGGAGGCTGACCCCAGCCAAAGGGATCTGCCCGAAACAAGAGAGAGGAGGTAAAGAGATTGTAGCGCACCAGTACACATCGAGCCCATAAACACAGAGGTCGGGAAAGAGCTCTCTTGTCACACAAGAGGCGCACTTACATAAATGAGCATTCACATCCACACATAGAGTTTTATATCTGTGACTTCAGAGGACTTGCTGTCGACTTGCTTTCATTTTACTACACTTACCCAAACCTTAACCTGCTGTGTTGAAAATATCATGTTTTTTGTCCCTGTCAGTAAGACACTTGGCCTATCATGGCAGAGCAAACGGATTTAGGTCCCCACAACATGAGTAATACCTGGATCGGGCACACGGGCACACACACGTCTCTCACCTGTCCGAGACAGATAGCTCTCTTTAAAGAATCCCAGCTGTTTGTTATTTTGACAGTGGCCTTCAGGAGGGATTAATGTAGCCTGAGATGATTTTATTAGAGTGAGTGAGAGCTGCACTGTGTGTCTATTCTGCTCCATTTTAAGTAAAACATCACACACACACCAGAACACACACAAACATACACGGGCACACACACACACACACACGCACACGCACACACTTGCAGGCCTCAAGGACTTCTTCAGCTGAAACCAATTGTGAAAGAAGGTGATAGAGGAGCCGCCCCCAGAATGTGTGTGTCTATTTGTGTGTGCCTGTATTTTTTCCTTCTTCTTCTTCTTCTTTTTTTGAGTGCACCTCACGTGTCTGAACGTTTGTATAGAAATCCTGCAGCATATGAAGAGGTTAAGAAAGCTGATTAAAATTCATCTGTGTGCGTGGTGAGGAGAAGGGGATTAATAAAGCAGCAAGGCCGTTCATCTGGCTATGAGGGGAAGGGAAAGGCGGAGGGGTGGGGGGCAAGGCCTGGAGAGTGCCAGCGCCGGAGGGAAACCAATTCAAAGTTATCAGGAGAGAGACAGTCACCATCACACCCGAGAGCTGGGAAGGGTATCCAGGATTACACAGACTCCAGTAGAGTCAGAAAGGGCTGGTTAGAAGAGGGAAGATGGCTTCACTGTGAAAGTTACCGAGTAGAATTACATGCGAGATTATGCAGTTAATGCAGGAGCCGGTCAGCACAATGTTATATTGTTACGTCCTCGTGTAACAAGTGCTGTGACACACTAATTTATAATATATTTACACACATGTACAGTAGAAGCGACGGTGAACTGTGAAGTATCTGATCCCAAACTTGATGAGATTCAGTCACCACAGTTACAAACCAGGCAGGTGGTCAAAACACAGAGAGGCACTATTATGTCCCTGAGTAAACCTCACTAAGTTTGTAACATTATTTTTTATTTTTTTTTAAAGATTGTAGCGACCGAGCTGATATGTGAAACAGTATCTTACCCAATAACCTCACTATGACACTTTAGAGCTCCACTGGCTGCTGTCATTTGACAACCACACCATATTTACAGCGACTCTAACCTAAATTGGGTGAAAGACAAAACACAACTCCTATGAGAGAGAAGAACTGCAAAGACATGCATGCACGGTTAGTGAAACCATCAATGATGCACCACTATCACAGTAAAACAGGATGCTGCATCACATACAGACACCACAACGGCCAAATCAATGTCATTATGAGAGCAACGAGTACAGGGCTCACAACAATCAGTAACTTTTACAGACGCAGCAAAAAGGCAAAGACGCCAGGCGCAGAATAGCACACTCGGCCGTAGCAGCTGCACTGCCTAACTGCACACACACACACACACACACACACACACACACACACACACACACACACACACACACGCAGAGTCAAAGGCACAGACAGGCCACTTGATCTGAACATCATACACGCCAGCAGCACCGATCTAATGTAAGCAATGACAATAACTCAAGCACGGCCAGTAACAGGCTGCTGTGTGCTTCTTTATTTCAGCACTGTGGACAGCGCGGGGACATTTAAGCACAACCCGCCTTGCTTGCACCTAAAATACAATTTCTTATACGAAAAAAAGCAGTCAAACTTTACAAAGGCGTCTGAGATGATTCTCAGTGGAGGAGACATGAAGTCCATGCCATCTTATTTTTCTGAACAAACATACATGATCCCTGTTGTCTAAAGTAGGCTGCCACCTGTTAAGGCCTCTGTGTGTGCTGGATAAGTGTGTAAATCTTTGCTGAAAAGCACAACAGCTATAGTACGATGTGTTTTTGTGCAAAGACATGAAGATAGCTTTCAGATATCGTTCGTCATATGTCAGTGGAGTTGAAGAAGCTGTGAGGTCCTGGGCTAAATGGAGACAAAGCAGGCTTGCACCAGTGTTCAGGCTCTTAATGTTTACCACGTCGATTAAATTAGAGCTTCCTTTTGTCCAGGAACATGAATATATTGGTATTTTTCCTCTTTTCTGCCTGCATGGTTTACCTTCTCTCAGTCTCACCATGGCTAAGCGTCTCTCAGCAGTTCCATTAACTTCCACGTTTACTTGTTAGACCTGATATGTGCCCATTTTTCAGTACTGCCCTTTTCTGCAAGTGTCCCACCCTCCTTTCTATGTCCTTCTACTAAGCATGCCATGCTATCTCTTTCACTAGTGTGCATTAAAAATATCTTTTGATAAAGGAAAAACAAATTCAGATTCTTCAGAACAACATCAAAGGATTGAAATGTAAAGTTTGACGTAACGCTACGCGGTTGGCAAACGTTACCTTTTCCTTTCATTCAAAAAGAGAACTGCTAGCAGGCGGCCCCTAAACCTCCTCCGCCTTTGTTTGTGAAGACTTGAAATCTGATTAATGTGATATTTAAATACAGTATAAAATTTCTAAACCTTTCATATATTCTAGGCCTTACCTTATATACCGCCCACTTATGGATCGTAAAGGAACTTCAGACAGTAAAGGGAAACGAAGAATTTGTTACATACTGAAATAAATAAAATAAGTGAATAAAAAATAGATAAACTTTACTAGTTAAAGGTTCTGTAAAGATTTTTTTTGTTAATAACGTGTGGAGTAACAGATACAAATTACAAAACAGCATTTGTCCTTATCAATTAAACACACTCCTTCCTGTTTAGTGAAACAATGTTGCATAAAGTTGCATCCAGCTGAATAAACTTACACTTTGAGTAAATTATAAAAATTTATATTTTGATGTCTTTTCATATGTGCAATATTTTGCTATAAACTTTCAAAAACATTTGTTCTTGATTTAAAAATACACAGTCGTGACCAGCGTTGCACTGTGAATACATTTATATATCAAATATATTAGAAGAAAAAAATTAGCAATGATACTTTTCATATTTTTTAAATATACTTTCAAAATACCCATCATTCAATGTGTCAGGCGTTACAGAGTTAAAGACTATTACAGGTTGCAGCTGCATGTACCACTATCACACAGGTTAATATCTACTGACCACAAACCTGCGACAGCTTGTTTTTGATGTAGCTGCTAATTTTAGTGTACAACGATGTTGTTTCCCTTTACTAAGACTTTACCCAGTAGTGGATAAAAAATCAATTACAAAATAACCAACCAGCACTAATAATAGCAAAAGCTTTTTTAACTGTCTAATTTGTTCCCATTAGACTGAGTGTGAAGCATTGAGTAGCAACACGAGTGCAAAAATAGTGTTTTGAAAGCAAAAAAAAAACAAAGATGCTATACATTTTACAGAGGTGCTGAGCGAATGTTTAAAGGAGGGGGGTGAGTCAACCTGTTACAGCAGCAGTCAGTTAGTCATTCACACAGACAGTCTTATCACTAAGAGAACAGAACATGAAAGCACTCGAAGCCCCAAATGAAAGAAAGGAGGATGGCTTTGTTCAACACATTATACTGCCACTCAAGGCAGTCTCAAGTTTCAACCAAATTGGATTACATTATTAGGTCTAATTACGTCCAGTGTGTTAGCAGCTCTCACATTTGTACACGCACACACTGTAAGGAAACATCGCATTGGCTTACACGTGGTACCGAGGAAGTTTGGGGTGCGCAACCAGATGCACGCAAATATTTGCAGCACAGGAGTCGACACAAAACACACAGGTGAATTAGAGTGTGTATCTGACTTGCGGGAAGATGAAACAAGCTTTAATGTAAGCATGCTGATAATGCATGAAATGCCTGGGCCGTCCCTGCATATCTAACATTATTAACCCTCTGCTTTCCTCCCCCCGGTCCTGGATTAATTTTTTTTTACTCCTCACCTGGCTGTGTTTTATAACATCCTGTCTGGCCTCTTTGTCTGTCAGCTTCCTTGCTTAAACTGCAATCATGCTGCAAGGCTAGCAGATTCAACCCCAAAAGCTGCACGCAGACACACACAAACACACGCGTGCACACACACATGCACGCAAGCAAATGCATACTCGACGGCGTAGATGAAAAATGGCCCTTCTGTGCCCTGTTTGTATTTTTTCCAGAGTTTCTCTTGCTGATGCATGCACTATGTGTGCATGTGTGTGTCAGAGCTTTGTCAGACTATGTTAATATGCGTGCGTGTGTGCCTGGGATGAATTTGTATATGTGTATGTGTGGGTGAAGAATGATGCGTGTCATCCAGAAAGCGAGAGGTTGTCGCAAGGGGAGTGTTAGTGTACTAAGACGACCCTGGCCCCGCTTTGAACTCCTCCTAGGACTGCTGTTGGGCCCCCTTGGAGCACTTTAAGACATCCAGCACAGACGGGTGAAGTCGCATCATGACAGCCTCTTTCTTTTTCTATCTCATTCTCTCCCGCGCGCGCAAACACGTTGCGAGGAGCTCAAAGTAAATATTTCATGAGGTGATGTGAACGACAGTGACATCCTCAAACGTCTTTCTGTGTTTCTCTCTTCGGCCCACCTCTGATCCCCCTGCTTTCGCTTTAGTGGGCATGTCACTACACTGAGATAAAGATTTCGCGCTGCTTTTTTTTCTCCTTCTTTTTTCTTCTTCTTCACAAACTCAATACGATACCGATACTTCTTTTCTTAACTGAGCCAAAGTAGCACTGGATTCATGATCAAAGAA